TTATGCTGAGTCCCTTCCCCTGGGCAACTCTTCCGACAGTGGATGAGATTCTGCCTCTACTTGGACCACGTGGTAGATGGCTAGGAAGCCATCTACTGCTGCTGACCAGACAATGCAGGCTTCTGACCCTTGCCCAGGCCCCTAACCAACCAAAACAAGAAGCTGGGATACCTTTGGAAGCAGATCCTAAGGCCTTCCCAAGACTTAGCTGAAAGTGTTGATGGCACTCGGAGGCCTTGGACATGATGATTTCTCCCTGTAGGAACTGTCTGGCCCCGGGTCATTTCTGATCTGATGATGTTTCTGTTTCTCTGTCTTCTCCCAGCCTGCTTCTTCTTAGCCGGAGAGGGAGGGTGAGGAGGCTCCTACATTGTTTTCTTAGCTGTTGGGCTATATGCTAAGAGCCCAGGCCAGCTGGGAAAGAAAGAATATCTGCAAAGGTGATCGTTGATATGGTGAAGAGGCTGGTTGTCAGTTTTGCAGTTAAAGTGGCTAGTCCTGCTGTCAGCCAAATGGTGCCTCCCTTCAGAGGACACTTAGTCTGGCCCACATGTGAACAGGAATCCTAACCAATCAACAAGCAGCTATTTAGTGTCTACTGTGTGCAGTGATAAATACAAATGTCCCTGAGAAGTAGTCCTTCATTCTCCATTTGAACACCTTCCTTGGGTGGGTGGGAGGGGAGAGGCGGTCCAATCCCCTTTGGAACAGCCTTGATTATTATACTGCTGTTGTTCAGTTGTTTCAGTCATATCCAACTCTTTGTGACCCCTTTTGGGGTTTTCTTGGCAAAGATATGGATTGGTTTGCCATTTCCTTCTTCAGCTCATCTTACAGATGAGGAAACCGAGGCAAGCAGGGTAAAGTGACTTGCCCAAGGCACCATAGCTAGTAAGTGTTTGAAGCCAGCTTTGAACTCAGGAAGATGAGTCTTCATAACTCCACGTCTGGTGCTCTATCCACTGCAGTGCTGACTAGCTGGCCAGGATTATGATGTCCTCAACCACAGGAATGACTCAAACTATGGAACCAGTGCGCAAGATAAACTTGTCCCTTCTCAGAATCCAGCTTTCTGCCCCACACAATGTGCATATTTTCCTAGGGTTTTGCATTTAGCAGGTTGAGCTCGGGGAACCCCTCCTTTCCCCACATAGCTAGGGAAGAAATTTGGGGAAGCAGCCATGTAAATGTCCAACCTCCTGCCTATAAAAGTGTGAAGGATGGGAGTTCACAACAAAATAGGGCCTGAAATTGTGTTCAGCTTGAACAGAGACATGGTGGTGCAGTCAAAAGTGACCCAGAACCAGTTAAAAGACACGTGGCTTGGGGTTACCTTGAGTAAGTCATTTGACTTCTGAGTCCCTATTTCCTCATCTGTAAAATAAAAGGTGGGTTAGATGTTCTCTAAGGTCATTTCCAGGTTAGGTCCTGTGGTTTTCTAGCACAAAAGAACCTTGCTGTTTATTTAACACAGAACAGAGAGAAACTGACTTCTTAAATGTCACGTGCCAAATATCTGACATCAGTGAGGTAGGAATGGATAGTGAGATCTGCCAGATAGTTTTTGATGGGTCCATGATAGATGCTGCTGCTTTGAGGGCCAGGTCAAATGGACCAGGCAGGGGATGGGTGTGGATGGCTAACTGTCTCAGTCACCCACAGTCATTCCATTCCCTCTGAGTGCAGCTATGGAGATGAATAAAAGAAGATATGAAGGGAAAGCCACCCTGGGAGGTGTCAGCCCTACATAGCCTTGGGTGGTGGCAACTCCTTGTCCATCATATAGCTCTGAATTCCTAGAGTAAGGCTCCAACTGTGGTGATACATGGCAGCCCAAGTATCTGTGATTCCGTTGATCTGGCTCTTGGTATATAGGGCCCGGTTACTGGGATCCAAGTGAACGACATGGTCTCCTTCAATTCTTAGCACAGGTAACGGGCCAGGTGGGAAGGACCGACCATATGGGAGATGGAAGTGAATGATCAGAAGACTGAGGAGCTCCTTTAGCATGCCTGCACTCCCTTTTCAAAAATATATTTTATTTATGTTGTTAAATATTTCCCAATTACTTTAAAATTTTTTAAACATTCATTTTTTAAAATCTTGAGTTCCAAATTCTCTCCCTCCCTCCCCCTACCCTTTGAGAAGGCAAACAATATTATACTGATTATACATGTGAATTCATGCAAAATGTATTTCCATATTAGTCATCTTGCAAAAGAAAACACAAACAAAAATAAAGTGAAAAAGTATGCTTCAGTCTGCACTCAGAATTCATCAGTTTTTCTGTCATTTTAGCCAATCTAATATGTGTGAGGTAATACCTTAGAGTTGTTTTAATTTGCATGTCTCTAATTATTAATGATTTAGAGCATTTTTTCATATGACTATAGATAGCTTTGATTTCTTCTTCTGAAAACTGCCTGTTCATATCCTCTGACCATTTATCAATTGAGAAGTGGCTCTTATTTTCAGAAATTTGGCTCTCTTATCCTTTGATGAGAGTGCATTTCTACTGCTTAGTCTGGTTTTTTTCCTTAGGAACAGAATCTGAAGTGCAGCAAGAAGTCATTTCACTTCCTTTTGGGGGAATCTGAAGCCCCCTTAGTTGTTTAACAGTCATCTAAAGGGACAAGGCACATGGAGAAACGCTGGTGTCCAGGAGCGGTGTTGGGTTATTGAAAGCACTTCGCCATTTCCCAAGGGCAGTTAGGTCTGCTCGCTTTTCTTCTTGTTCATTGTCCGTCTGCAGTGCCTTTTCAACACCTATGCATATAAGCACATATATGTTTAAATACACATAAGTAAAGAGTAAAACTGTACTAAGAGTTTGTGGATACTGTGTATCTGTGTGTGTGTATATATATATATTTATATATATACATATATATGTATATACATACACATATATATACACTTTCAGTTTATATAACACACACACACACACACACACACACACACACACACTCTGATGGACCAGCTTTCTAGGCTACTTATCCAACTGCAGATCATAGCTTTTCATTTAGACTCCGCTCAGGACATCCGCCACGACAGTGGCACGTATGCCTGTTTTATTTGACACAATCAAAATATCATTGACCACTTATCTCTGTGGTTGAAGCTATCAGAGAATCTTATTTGACGTTTACGTGTGTGACAGCCACCTTTAAGACTGTCGTATTCTACTGAGTGAGATGGTTATTTTCTCCCCATAATTGACAAACCCCATTTAGTCAGTTGCATGATCACAGTGATGCAATCTGCTGTAGTAGACAATATTCTACTACCGCCTGCTTCTTCCCTTCTCATTTTTTCTATCAGAGATGCCCTTAGTGTGTGCATAGACCATTCCTCTCAAGATTTTATACAGATGAGAATATGAGTATGTGGGTTGGTAGTTTCTAATGCCTCTTCAGTTACTTTTTTGTGATAATAATAACTCTCTATGGTTTTTCTGTCCACATTCTTGTCATCCTTCCCTCTCGAAGGCATTTTGAAAATTGATCCTGAGTGCCCTGAAAATGTGTCACCTTCACCACAGATTTCTTCCGAGTGTATTTGTTCAGTTCCAGCTCCTCTTCCTGGTTTTATCTTCTTAAGTGCTATTTTCATTTCCTCATGTCGTAAAATGGGTACTCAGTAGGTTGATGAAGATTGATTCAATGCGATTTAATTCAGTAAGTGCTATAGAAATCCATTTTCCAGCTATTTGTTATCCTTTCATTTTCATCCAGAAATGCTATCGGGATGATCTGACTTAGTGGAGTCTTACGCCAAGCTGTCTGCAGGCCCTCTTTCCTTCTACCACTTCACACTGTTTTGAGATAAGATAGAGCTTGCAATCTTTTACCAGCTTCCTCTGTAATCTTTTTACAAATGGGTCTACAGACTAAACCGATCTTGTCCTTGGAAACCTTATGTTTATCAAGGAGATCAACTGTTTGCTGGCTGAGTTGCTTTCTAGCCTCTTCCGGTCTCTTCATAGTGGGAATTGTTTTATGTTAGCCAAACCTTTTCTAAGAAATGCTGATAAAGTGGACGTGTGTACTCATCCATTTCCCATTTTTCGGTTAAAAGTTTATTTAAGTAGGTTGGAGGCATTAAGTATTTTTTTCGAATATTATCTTCTCATCTTTATCTTTTCTTTTAGTTCAGTGTTGATATAGACCTTTGCTCTAACCAGTCAGTGGTTTAATTACAATGCAGGCACATGATTCAAAAATAGCCAATTATTTCCTGTTTGAAAGATGTCATTAATTTCATTCTTTTTGTGATATTGTTTGGTATTTACTTGCCCTGTTTTGAGCCTCTGTCTTTGAAAAAAAAAATCCATGGAGTAGAGATGCACAAACGTCAAACTTTTGGCTATTTAATTACTTAATCTTGCATGTTATTTTCTGACCTCTTCGTCACTGTCCTCTTCTATTCAGAAATTCACGTTGAAGTCATTGAGTATCAAGGTGTGTTGCTTTAATTTGAAGGTTTCGTCCAATCCTCCAAAAGTTTTCTTTATTTCTCCATCCTTTCCAAGAGATACTGGTGCACACACTGCAACTCATTATATTTGAGGTGGCCCTCTCGTTTGCACATGAGGGAGTCAGCTCTGTCTCTGTGAGGTGAGCCTGTGGGCTACCTTTCCATTTAGCTGCAATTTCCTCGCATCTTCTGGTTCCATTGAAGTGAGACCAGAAATATTGTTGCGACTCAGTTCTTCTCGTATTTAGAGGACCAACAACGATTAATATTTATATATGGTTTAAAACCTATGTGGTCGCTAGTACTTTCTGTCCCCTTTTCCACCACCTTGCCATTATCACTATGGAAGCAGGCGAGGGACACACAGATCCATTCTGTACTTTTCTTTGTTTCCTGGCTAGATAATTTATCACCAAGTTCCAGTCTGCTAGCAATGAACCTCTCTGTACTTAGCTAAGCTGCTCATTAGACAGTAGGTACCGTTTATTTCTGACACCATGTTCATGGCCTCTCCCGTTTGGTAGAACCTATCAGAGCTCCACTGGCATGGCCTCATCGTCACACCACAGTGAAGCACTGGAGGAGAGGTTTGGGAACATACCAGAGCTACGCTATCCCAGCAAATGATTATACCTGGTAGGTCCTAAGAATCAGTGTTGGGGAGTGGGATGATGCAAGGTCACTTAACCTAACCTGCTGAATTTGGGAAGAGAGTAGAGGGACATAGCTGTCTCAGAGAAAAAGTACTGAACCAGGAGTCGAGAGACCTCGTTCAGATCCCAGCTGTTCCACCAGCCAACTGTCTGGCTGTGGGTTAATCATGTGATCTCTGTAAGGCTTTAGTTTTCTTATATGCAACATGATTGTATCATAAGTTTCAAGAGTAGAGTTGGGCTCGGTGTGTTGGTTAAACATTTTGTTTTGCACTCTTCCATTCCCATGGGCTTGATGGTCCCATCCACCCCTTAAAGCCTAGCTCAACCGCACAAAGCCTTCCCTTATTCTTCTGGTCAGCTAGGCTATTCTCATTTGGACGTCAGGTTGCATTTTGTTTTGCACCGATCATGTAATATATATTATAGTTGTCTGAATATGTGTCACATCTCCCTATTGGACTGTAAGCTCCATGAAGACAAGAGCCTTCTCTATCTCCTTCAGTGCCCAGAACAAAGCCATGCACACAGTAGGCACCTAAGCAGTTGTTCTTGAATGGTTGTTGAATGAATGCCTTCACGTGTATTTCTCTGGTCTCTGCAGGAATCACACCCAGTCTCTCCTTAATGAACATACATCAACGGGCAAAATGGGCAGCAATGGCACAACCCACAGCTGCAACAACATGAATGTAACATTCCAGTACTCCCTGTATGCTGTCACATATATCGTGGTCTTCATCCCCGGCCTTCTGGCCAACAGTACAGCCCTCTGGGTCTTGTACCGCTTCATCAGCAAGAAGAACAAGGCCATCATCTTCATGATCAACCTGTCTGTGGCTGACCTCGCCCACGTCCTCTCGCTGCCGCTGCGGATCTATTACTACATCAACCACCACTGGCCCTTCCCAAGGTTCCTGTGCCTTCTCTGCTTCTACCTGAAGTACCTCAACATGTACGCGAGTATCTGCTTCCTGACATGCATCAGTCTGCAGCGTTGCTTCTTCCTCCTGAAGCCCTTCAAGGCCCGAAACTGGAAGCGCAGGTATGACATGGCCATCAGTGCCGCCATCTGGGTCATTGTTGGGACTGCTTGCTTGCCCTTTCCCATCGTGAGAAGTGCTGTCCTGGCCAACAAATCCCAAGATGCCTGCTTTGCTGACCTGGGATACACGCAGATGAGTGTGGCACCCTCAGTGGTAATGATCACATTGGCCGAGCTGGCTGGCTTCGTGGTCCCTGTCGTCATCATCGCCTGGTGCACCTGGAAGACAGTGATATCTCTGCAGCATGCACGTGTGGCCTGTGAAGGAGAAACTGAGAAGCGGAAGGCTCTTCGGATGGTCTTCATGTGTGCTGGGGTCTTCTTCATTTGCTTCACACCCTACCACATAAACTTCCTTTTTTATACCTTGGTGAAGGAAAAAGTTATCACTAGCTGCCCCATCATCCAAAGCACACACTATTTCCACCCTTTCTCCTTGTGCCTTGCAAGTCTGTGTTGCTGCTTAGATCCAATCCTTTATTACTTCACAACTTCTGAGTTCCGGGACCAACTCTCCCGCCATGGTAGCTCAGTGATCCGATCCCGGCTAATGAGCAAGGAGAGTGGTTCTTCGATGGCGAGCTAAGTAGCCACCACCAAAGACTTGCCTTTCTCTCGTATTCTTTGGCTTGTCCCTAAACCCAGAGAAATAGCCAAGCCATAGATGGAGTTACTGGACACTTAGTATGGGGGCAGTGGGCATAGAAGGAGGCGGGGGTGGGATTTGTTTGTCTGGACTGTTTTTGTCGTTCTGAAATTGAGGACTCTTTTATTTAAGAGAACAAGATTAAAGCCTGACAGATGTTTCAAGTGGAAGAGAAAAGTTGCCGTCTCACTGAAAATGTTCTCAGTAAATTGTGGTAATTTCATCCAATGTGCATATTTAAAAAAAAAAATATTTTTGCAATGTACATATTTCTTTTCTGTAGAAAAAACCCAAAAGCTTATCTTGAATTACTATTCAGGAGCCAATACCTTTTCCTTTCTTTTTATATAATGTGGATGAAAAAAGCCAGTCTCTTAGATGTGAGGATTACATAAGCAAGGGGGGAAAACAATAGATAGAATTTGGCCCCTAGTTCCTTTTCTTGAAGCAAAGGGGAATTGGAGCTTACTTCATCTCATCTAGTGGCCAGCACTGATACAATTCAGTAGATCAGGACCCAGCTCTTCACTTCACTTTGCCCACAAAAACACAGACCAAAACTGGATCAACGTATGTGAGTATGGCTAGAGTGGTCTGGCCCAATTTGCCTGTGGTCACTGCACTGGTCCTTATGGGGTAGACCTGGTACTTTGTGTCTTAGCTGAGTCAGACTGCAGGATTTTCTGATAATGTCCCATTCTGCAGTGCTCACAGATCTTGGTCCTAAAGGTTCAAACAATCCATTCCATCAAAAAGGATGTCTCCCTTTAGGTATGGCCCAAAGGGTTAAGCCCATTAAGCTGGCATAGGAAAGATGAAAAAGAAAAACAGAATTTTAAGTAAATCAGACAAGTCTCAGAGACTTAACTCCATCACCCTATACATACATATCCTTACAATCTTACAAATTTCCATAGGGACTTATTGTACTGCTGCTATGTGCCTTGAATGCTACTGCTTTGATGAGCACCCCTGCTATTTAGCTCAGACGTGGATAAGTTTGGTATGAGGAAACCAGATGACCCCAAAATTCCGTGGCCATTTTTAGTAGGTAGAATGGTTAAATCCAATAACACATGCTATAGTATAATGAACCTAGATCCTTATCATATCCTGTGTGAAAGGGAGAAAGGGCAATTGCTGGGAGGACATATTTCCAGTTTGATTTTTTTTTTCCAAAGGTGATTACTAAAATTTCAGGAACATTAAAGAAGATTTCAATGTAGGCAGACTGCTTATTTGCATTACCCTCCAGTGAGGGGCCCACACAAAAGAACTATTTGGCAACAGCAAAAGGAGGCCAAGGAGAGAGGCATAGACAAATTAGTTTCTGCCCAAAGGGAGAATGTGATATGGCTATAAATAATGAGGGTTTGCTTTTAAAAAATACAATATGATTGATGTCTTGTTTTTTTAAATAACATTTCCTGATATGCAAATCAAAGTGCATTGCACATATTGTTGTTGTTCAGTCACGTCTGACTCTTCATGACCCTGTAGACCATATCACGCCAATACTGTCCCCAAATGGGGTTTTCTTGGCAAAGATACTGGAGTGGCTCGCCATTTCCTTCTCCAGTGGATTAAGGCAAATATAGGTTAAATGACTAGCCCAGGGTCACATAGCCAGTGAATGTCTGAGACTACATCTGAACTCAGTCTTCTGACTCCAGTCCTAGCACTCTATCCATGAGCCACCTAGCTGCCTCTACATTGTGCATAATACACACTTAATAAATGCTTCTTCATTCATTCATTTGTATAATATCCTTCCCCTGGTAGTATTCTCCTTTGTTAAGAATAAAAAGGCAAAGCCAAAACAGTGATCACGTACATCAGAATATGCAACATTCCTCTTTTGTAATCTACCTGCCCCTACAAAGAGGGATTGATTTTGCGGTATGGATGGTAAATTCCCATAGAGAAGCTCCAGAAGTGTCTTGGACAAGGCAACTGCTTTGGAAGATGGTTTTCATTTTGATTTATAAGTTCTGGCATGTTTATAAATATATCCTGGGACCTTGGGCAAGTCACAACCTCTCTGGGTCTCCGTTTCCTCAAATAAAGTGGAGGCGTTGGACTAGATAACTTCTCTGGTTGTTTCCATATCTATGATTCTATGGTCCTGACATCTTAGCCAATCTTGGAACTCCTTCGAAATGGCAAAGAGCAACATAGACTTTTGACTTTATGAAGGACTTTTGACTACAAAGAAAACACTTTGGATTTTGCGGCTACAGGTTTTGAGTTTGCCCACCATTCAAGGCAAAGTTTTTGGGGGTGTTTTTGACCCTGTGAAACAAGGCAGCAGAGAATGGTTAATGTGGTACACGAGGAAATGAATACACACATTCTAAAGAGCTGTGTACCTCGCATTATATTATGGCTATGCTAGAAAGGTTAAAATGACAGCTCAAGAAAGCGGGAATACCATTTGTTTCAAGGCAGTAAAGTGAACAACTAGGGGTCTGATGCCTGTGTGTGTAAAAGGACAGTCACAATGACAGAATGAGGACAACTAGGCAGACGTTCCTGGATTCGATGTTCCAGAAGCCTTCCAGTGGTACTTAACATCCCCAAATGTCTTCTCAAAGTTGCCTGTTAACTTCTCCCCCAAGAAGCTCTTCCAGAATTCCTTCACTCTGTTGTGATGCTCCCATCTTTTGATTGGTCAGAATAATAAGGCAGAAATTGTGAAGAAATACAATAGGAACTTTGTGCAATGATGTATTATATTCGGTCCAATTGTGTGTTATGGTTACTGCCTCCTGTTTGGTTTGTACACGCTTTAGAAAGTGGTTTAATGTTCAGTGTCAAGACATATATACGTGATGTATATTTCATTAAATAGTTGATTAAGCACTGTGTTTATGGTCATGCTTGTAAACACTGGGCACCAAGCTAGCTTTTGGTCAGGAGCATAACCTCCCTTTTAAAATACTGTTTCTATGACCAAATAGTTTGGTATAACCCCTCAGAATCCTGCTAAATTAGCTCACGGGAATGCCACAATATTCCCTAAACACAATTATTCTTAATTCAAGTCAATTCGATTCAGCAAGGCTTGATTAAGTACAGGGTACATTACTACCACTATTATTATCATCATCATTATCATTAGTGTTAATATTATTTCAAAGGTGTTCATCTTTCACCACATAATTCTTCGAAGGAATCAGAGGGAGGACACAGATCATGAAAATCAAATAACAAAAGGGTGGTGTGGTTCCCCCCAAACTGGGTATTACTAGAGGCGAGGGTTGGGTCAGGGGTGGGGAAGCTGCGGCCTCGAGGCCCCATGTGGCCTTCTAGGTCCTCGAGTATGGCCTTTTGACTGAGTCCAAGTATGACAGAACAAATCCTTTTATTAGAGGGATTTGTTCTGTGAACTTTGGACTCAGTTAAAGGGCTGCACTCGAGGACCTAGAGGGCCACATGTGGTCTTGAGGCTGCAGCTTCCCCACCCCTGGGTTGGGTAAAAGAGAGCTGGTGTACAATAGCTCCTTTTTACCCAGGTGTTTTAGTACACACACACACACACACACACACACACACACACACACACACACACGCACGCATGCACGCACACACGCACAACCACACAGGTGAACATACTGAAATATGTAAATTCTGTAGACTCATAGGCTCAAAGTCCTTCTTGACTCCTGATCCTGCTTTCTCCTGGTTCTCCCACCTGTCTGACTCCTTCTCCTTAATCTCTTTTGCTGGATCATCATTCATGGCATCCCCCTTAAAAGATCACAAAAGACAGTCCCACGGGGAAGACAGTATGAAAACGACTTTGTACAATAAGTATATAAACAGGATAAATTGGAGGTAATTTCAAAAAGAAGAGGGAATCAGGAAAAGCTTCTTGAGGAGTGGGATTTTACCTCAGACTAAGACTGAGCTGAGACTTAAGAAGGAAGCCAAGAGGAAGGAGAACCCTCTGGCATGGGAGAACCAGCGAAAACAGAGTCCATCTTGCTCCTGACCTCTCTGACTTCCTTCAAGTCCCAGGTAAAATGTCACCTTCAAGAAGCCTTTCCCAGTCTCCCTTAATGCTAGTACCTTCTTTTTGATGACTACCTCCAATATATCCTGCGCATATCCTGTTTGTACATAGTTGTTTCTTGTTGTCTTCCCCCATTAGACTGTGAGCTCCTTGAGAGCAGGGACTGTCTTTTGCCTTTCTTTGTATCCCCAGTGCCTGGCACACTGTTGTTGTTCAGTCATTTTTCAGTTGCCTCTGACACTTCGTGACGCCATTTGGTGTTTTCTTGGCAAAGATACTAGAGTGATTTGCCATTTCCTTCTCCAGCTCATTTTACAGATGAGGAAACTGAGGCAAACAGGGTGAAGTGACTTGCCCAGGGTCACACAGCTAGTAAGTGTCTGAGGCCAGATTTGAATTCAGGAAGATGAATCTGCCTGACTCTACGCACTGTGCCACCTCGTTACCCTGAGGAGAGGCATACAAAGTTAGTAATCATAACTGTGAATGTGAATGGGATGAACTCACTCAAAAGATAGAAGCAGATAGCAAAGTGGATTAAAAATCAGAATACAACAATATGTTGTTTACAAGAAAAACACTTGAAGAAGAGAGATACAGATGGAGTAAAGGTGAGGGGCTGGAGCAAAATCTGTTATGCTTCAACTGACATAAAAAAAAAAAGCAGGGGTAGCAATCCTGATCTCAAACAAAGCAAAAGCAAAAAATATGGATCTAATTAGAAGAGATAAGCAGGGAAACAATATTTTGTTGACCGTTACCATAGACAATGAAGTAATATCAATACTAAACATATGCACTAAATGGTATAGCATCCAAATTCTTAAAGGAAAAGTTAAATAAACCACAGGAGGAAATATTAAAACTATACTAGTGGAGGACTTCAACTTTCCCCTCTCAGGACTCAGGACTACATAAATCTACCCAAAGAATAAGAAAGAAGTTAAGGAGATGAATAGAATTTTAGAAAAGAGAAAGCATCTTTTAATTTCATGACTGCAGTCACTGTCTGCAGTGATCTTTGAGCCCAAGAATATTAAATCTGACACTGCTTCCATTTCTTCCCCTTCTATTTGTCAGAAAGTGATGGTACCAGTGGCCAAGATCTTAGGTTTTGGTTTTTTTTTTTATGTTAAGCTTCAAACCAGCTTTCACACTCTCCTCTTTTACCCTCATCAGAAGGCTTCATAATTCTTCTTCACTTTCTGTCATCAGAGGGGTATCATCTGCGTATCTGAGACTGTGGATATTTCTCCCAGTAACCCAGCTTGGGATTCATCCAGCATTTTGCATCAGGTACTCTGCATATAAGTTAAATAAACAAGGTGACAATGTATACAGCCTTATCGGATTCCTTTTCCAATTCTAAGCCAATTAGTTGTTCCATGTCTGGTTTTAACTGTTGCTTCTTGGCCCACATACAGTTTCTTCAAGAGACAAGTAAGATGATCTAGTATTCCTATCTCTCTGAGGACTTGCCACATTTTGTTGTCATCTACACAAAGACTTTTGTGTAGTCAGTGAAGCAGAAATAGATGTTTTTCTGAAACTCCATTGCTTTCTCCATAATCCAGTGAATGTTGGCAATTTGCTCTTTAGTTCCCTTGCCTCTTAAAACTAGCCTGCTCTTCTGGTAATTCTTGGTTCACATATTGCTAAAGTTTAGCTTGCAGAATCTTAAGCATAACCTTGCTGGTGTGTGAAACGAGCACAATTGTTTGGTAATTTGAACACTCCTTGACATTGTCGTCTTTTAGAATTCAGACATAAACTGATCTTTTCCAATCCAGTGGCTACAGATGAGTTTTCCAAATTTGCTGGTCCATTGAGTGTAGCACTTTAACAGAATCATCTTTCAGGGTTTTAAATAACTCAGCTGGAATTCCATCACCTCCACTACCCTTATTGCTAGTAGTGCTTCCTAAGGCCCACTTGACTTCATTCTCCAGGATATCTGGCTCTAGGTCAGTAACCATGCCATTGGTGATGTTAAGATGTTTCTTGTATAGTTCTTTTGTGTATTCTTGCCACCTCTTCTTAATTTCTTCTGCATCTGTTAAATCCCTACCATATTGCCTTTATCATACTCATTTTTGCATGATGCTTTCCCTTGATATCTCTAATTTTCCTAAAGAGATCTCTTGTTGGGACAGCTAGGTGGCACAGTGGATAGAGCGCTGGCCCTGGAGTCAGAAGGACCTGAGTTCAAATGTGGCCTCAGACACATATCACTCACTAGCTGTGTGACTCCGGGCAAGTCACTTAACCCCAGTTGCCTCACCAAAAACCATTCTATGTTTTCTTTTATTTCTTTGCATTGCTCATTTAAGAAAACTTTCTTATCTCTTATTGTTATTCTCAGGAATTCTGCATTCGGTTGGATATATATTTCTCTTTCTCCTTTATCTTTCACTTTCCTTCTTTCCTCCACTATTTGTAAAGCCTCACTGGACAACCATTTTACCTTCTTGTTCTTCTTTCCCTCTAGAAATTTTTTTTGTTGTTGCTGCCTCCTGTACAATATTATAAACCTCTATCCATAATTCTGCAGGCATTCTATCTAACAGATCTAATCCCTTAAATCTATTCATCACCTCCCCTTCATACTCATAAGGGATGTTATTTAGGTCATACGTATATGATCTGATTGTTTTCCCTACTTCAATTTGAGTCTGAATTTCGCAATAAGAAGCTTGTGACCTTTTCTCATCCTTTTAATGGCTATGAGGGCTACTCCATTTCTTCTAAAGGATTCTTGCCCACAGTAGTAGCGATCATCTGAATTAAACTCACCCTTTCCCATCCATCCATTTAAGTTCACTGACACCCAAGATGTCGATGTTTAATCTTTCCATCTCCTATTTGACAACATCCAACTTACCTTGGTTCGTAGATCTTAAATTACAAGTTCCTATGAAATGTTGATCTTCACAGCATCAGACTTTCCTTTCATGACCAGATGCATCCATAGCTGAGCTTTCTTTCAGCTTTGGCCCAGCCACTTCATTAGTACTGGATCTACTTTTAGTTGTCCTCCCCTCTTCCCCAGTAGCTTACTGGACACCTTCCGACCTGAAGGGCTCATCTTCTGATGTCATCCCTTTTATCATTTTAGTGCTGCTCCTGGGGTTTTCTTGGCAAAGATACTGGAGTGGTCGGCAATTTCCTTCTCCAATGGGTCCCTTTTATCAGAATTCTCCAATGTGACCTGACCTTCTTGAGTAACCCTACATAGTATATAGCTCATAGTTTCATTGAGCTACACAAGCTCCTCCACCATGACAAGACAGTGATCCGGGGGTGGGGGGTGGGGTACTCATGAGTAGTCCAAGCCAATATAATAAAAATGACAATTTTACCTAAATTAATCTATTTATTCAGTGCCATCCCAAAGCAAATTGCCAAAAAATATTTTCTGGAGCTAGAAAAAAAAAATAACAAAATTCATCTGGAAGAACAAAAGTTCAAGAAGATCAAAGGAATCAATAAAAAAAAATGGGAAGGAAGGTGGCCTAGCAATATTGGATCTCAAACTGTGTAACAAAGTGGTAATCATTAAAATAATCTGTTACTGGCTAAGTGGTAGATCATTGGAATAGATTAGGCACACCGTATACAGTAGTAAATGACCATAATAATCTAATGTTTGACAAAACCAAAGATCTAAGCTTTGGGGACAAGAACTCACTATTTGACAAAAATTTCTGGGAGAACTAGGAAGCAGTTTGGAAGAAACAAGGTATGAATCAATATCTCACACCATATTCCGAGAAAAGATCAAAATGATACATGATTTAGACATAAAGGGTGGTACCACAAGCAAATTAGAGGACCGTGAAAAAGGTTAC